GTGTGGTATCGCACTGGACAAGTCCACAACATCTGTAGAATTCCAGAAACTTGAAGGAAAAGAAGTTTTTGGCCCTACTCGTTTCCCAGTAACATCAATGTTGAAGTCACCTAGAACAATCAAATGCTTGTCAAGAATACAGTATAGTGTAGTTCGCTGCGGACGGTTGGGTGTGTCAGTGCGGCTGCGTTTGGCGCGGTGCCAAACTCGTTCTCACCAGTTGTTGAAGCGGGCAAGTGACTGTCCGCAGCGAACTAGACTGTAGTCAAGCAGAGTATTAATGAGGCAGTTGTCATTCTGAAGAAGATTTGGGAGGAGTCGGTTAGCAATCACGACTTTGAACAACACTGCAGAAATTCATCAAGACCTTCGAGGCAAAGTAGTTCCGAGTTGAGGCAGGTTGGGGTTTCAATGGCCACCAGGAAGGATGAGTTCTTAGCTAGTTCACCCCTCCGCTTTTCGCGGACTAAACAGAAAACGTTAGCGGTACTGAGTATCGGATCTAAAGCATACTAGACTCGAGGAGGAAGTTAAAATGGGAATCTACAACAACATAAGCCAATCTGCAAATCGATCAGCATGCTAATATTGAAGAGAGAAGAGAGAGCAAAGTCTTGAAAAGGTAGCTACCTAATATAAAATATATAATCATTGTGTGAATAAATAAATGAAAATATAAACCCATACTTCAAGAAAACAGATCGACTAGGAAACGAGAATCTATGGTAGATGAAGATAACGCAAATAAACTGCAGAATAACCACGATAGACAGACTAAATGAGAGTAGTTGAGGAATACTAACAGTGCGTTTTATGCTAGTTAACCCTTTTATTGTGAGTTATCAATAAACTGTTTGAGAATATGAAGTGGACTTGCATGCAGTGAAAATACCCTGATATAAGAATTAAGGTCAGTACGTCATTGACGCAAGAAAGACCACAGGTCCCGAAATTCAGTGACGTGAGGCAGTGCCTCTTAACCTAACTAACTAAACTTAAACTAGCTAAACTGCAAGTTCATGTCTTCCCATTACGACGGAACGGATACATCTCCAAACCCGAGTTACCTCTGGGTTATGGAGAGTATCAGCTTAGCCCAATCAAAAGAAGAAATTGACAAAAATATAATATGTTGAAGAGCAGGCAACAAGGAATGGTGCCGTTTCGCCAGCTACTAGGCCGAAACTAATATACTCCATCACGATCACTAAGGCTACATTAGTGTGAGTGAAAAAAAAAAGGCTCAACCCGATGAAAATACAGGAATAGTGAAATGGTGTAATGTAGCAAATATAAATGAGAGTATCTGAATAATGTGATAATGAGTTAGATACATAGGAAGAAAATGAAGTACTCTCAGGTACGGATGATGCCATTACCTGATGCGGTAATAATCTCAGCCTCACGCGACAGTGTCACCCTATCAAGCAATATGCATGGAGCATATTGTGCGTCATTACAAAGATAAAAATCGAAGTTATAAATTATTTAACAAAACCAGAGCACAGGTAAAATCAATTATTAATCCCTAGTAGTAGCAGTTCTTCAATTCTTCTAGAACTATCTCCTATTGTATAGTTATAGGAAATGAATTTATTTCCATATATGCATTTAACATCAGCTGTTATAATTTCCATCTTGTATTTCTTAGTACGCAGAGGTTCAATAACTTCTTCAAGTTCATCAATAAACACGTCATATAATGAGCAAGTTTTGGCAAATTCCTGCGAGAGTTCGTGCATAGAACTGAAATCGCTTTTTTATTATCCGAAACAAATACTATCATATCTGGCCTGTAAGATCTGAAGATACTGTTTCTATTATATAATCTTAGTGTTCTATAGTCCTTGTTATCGTCCCAATGGGGAGGGTGTTTATCTCGTGTCACGCCGCAACTCTACAGGTATCACCTAAACCGTTTTGAGGTATATAAACGGTTTGAGGGCAGTGACAGGGCCTTTCACTGTTGCGCCTATTACGGTTGCTTCATCGCCGGCTTCAGCGCCACCGCATCACGATAGGGCAGCAGTCCACCAACTGTAAGACCAATGACTCGTAGTCCACTCAATAGTCAATAGCCTCGAATGTACGCCCTCAACGGGCATAGGGTTTCTTGCCGTGTGCTTGGGATATCACATGTCGACCACTACAGGAGGACCGCCCGGAAGTAATGGCCAGAAATAGAAAATAATCTCAATCTCAAGGTTAAAGAGACAAACAAGTGAATAGTTCATGCGTAGGATATTAGGCTTCCTATTTCTGGTGTGTTTGTAAGCAAACCACGATTACTTGTCGTAAAGTGCTATGTAGTAAAAGGCAAAAATGTACAGAATCACCACAAAATTTACATTCCAGGAGACTGCCTCAGAAGACAAAGATGCCGTGAGTGGCTTAATTCAATGTCAGAAGACAAAACGCCGTGAATGGCTCATTCCATTCATAATGGAACTCTCCGACTGGTTGCACTTTACCAGACGTACATGATGATTTCTATTCAAAATAGAATGATGCGTCCACTTTGCACGTATGCTTTTTCATCTAGGTAGCCTATTAATCCGTCAGTTTCCTTCCTTTTTACCCCAAGGAATTTCAAACAAGTTCCCAATTGAATAGGTGAGCTCCGTGATTTCGGAAATATTCCCGGATCACGAATGCAAAATTTCCGTGGGGCATAACTTGAGCTTCACCTCGTTGCTCCGTACTGCATGATGCTTCCATAGTCATAAGGCATTCCGTAATTGTAGTTTGTAGTAGCAGATTCCTTGTCGAACTGGTCCACAAAGTTGGGCTATAAACAAGCTCTCTCGTTGAGGTTCACAGGAGTACGTGCCAAATTACACTTTCACTTTGTGAAAATCCCAAAATTGCATGAAAAGAATCTAAGGAAGAACTTTATTTTAAATACCGAAATATATCAGAAAAATTATCACTTTAGGACTATCTGTTCCTCCTTTCCCTTGCTGATGCTGAAAAAAGGAGGTTGCAGCTAACTGTTCAGTTCTATCTAAAGGCACCTGTGGGACGGAAACTGACTCTTTCCATGAGGTCATCCCCCTTGACACTGCACTGGGTAGTCATCATTTTACCACCCGCGTTAACCTGTTGAATAGCCATTGAGAAATGCTATTAAATCTTGATAATCTAAGCTGTCAAATTGGGTAATTCCCAGGTTGTTACCTTTGAAGTTACAGTAGTTTTGTGACATTGCTGAAACGTGCAACCCTGCAGTTCTTTCTAGAAAAGGTCTAGGCTAGTCTCAACTACGGTGGCTTTCGAAGATGGTTCACTGCTCATAACTCAGGATATGATCCAGGACAGGCTTCAGGTTATGATCCTTTTCGCCATTTATAGGCAAAACTGGTGCCATAGTTTTTGCCCGTAGAGAACTTTATTGGGAAGTACCGTTTTTAGGAGTATAGGTGCGTACAATTGTCATCGGA